TTATCGTGCATGACGCTTTGTTAATTTTCTTTGTAAACGAAAGCAAACAAAGCAATACACCAAGAACCAAAGAGACAGGGACGGAGAAAGATAACAAAGTGTCGCAAGTTAAACAGAAAAAAACAAATAACAGCACACGGTGTTGGTCTTATAAAAAAAAATACATAACTTTAATATTGTACAAAGCAATTTTAAAAATGACACCGTACTGATGTTGAAAGAAATGAACGACCTGAACACCAAAACCAGTGACAGTGAGAGCATGAGAATAAGTCACCAATAAAAATGTGTGATTGTGTGTTCGTGTACACGGCTTTGATACTCGACGATGTGCTAGTCTCGTTTTACATGCATATTTTGTTCAACGCCGTTTGGCAAAATCACAAATAATTCACAAGCCCAGCGAACTATATGTATTTGGTTAGCATTTTAGCCACAAAATATCCATGCAGACATCGTGAATATTGTGTGGTAGAGGGAAAATTTGAAGAAAACCGTTTTTTTTCTTCTTCTCTTCATTTGTTTGATTTGGTATGTAGAGTAAGTGCGCATATGCGATGGCAAATCAAAAGCAAATACACACATACACAGTTAAAAACGTTAAAGCGCGCCCGTCAAATGAACACTTTATTCGTATATTGTATGTATTTGTTAGCGTGTTCGCACCCAAACACACCATTCGTAATTGTGCTTTTGTCCTTCTATGATAGACACGGTTGAAAGAAAATCGTAGAAGGAAGACAAGCATTGCTCAATGCTGATATATGTGTTGCTTTGTTGCGAAATGATGATGGCCACAAAAAAAGTGACGATGAATGTTCGATAGTGATATGAAAGAATATGATCACACATTATATTTTATATTTTTTTGTGCGCAAAATGTGTGAAATATAATGCCTTCAAATTTTTAGATAAAACTCCTCGGAAATGGAAATTCAGACATTGTGCGTAGACAAAGATAAGGTCGATTGAAACGAGAGACTCTATCATTTTTTATTTATATAAAGTGAGAGAGAGAAAGAGCGTAGAAAATACGTACGGTTTTCAAGTGAACAGACGGGTAGGCCTGGCTGTCACAGCCAGTTTTTTTTTCTTTCAACGTACATCACATTGAAGCACAAATGACTGAGGCCATAAAAGCAGCTGTGTATATAAATAATATTACAGCTGACAAAGTGTATCGAAGTGTATACATGAAGATAGAATGTACTAATACACGGAAATGGGCAAATCTCCTGTGAATACTACACCGCCTCTCGATCGAAAAATGTGTGTGATAGTTTTTGAATGGCGATGGTGTTTTTGCTACACCAGCTACTGCTGCCGATGTTACAGATGGATGGATGGTTATTTGTCAGATTCGGATGATTGTTGTTTGATGTACAGAGCACACATTGTACAGGAAAGAGAGAGGAGGGGGGACGAAAAAAATTGTAATCAATTCGCATAATTTCGCACTTTTCTCCGATTCACTGGAGATTTTCTATCCATCAATAGTCAATTTCAATTTCACAATTTGGTGAGAGAAAAGTGGTTTTTTTCTGTTTGTTTTCTTGCCACACATTTTCAACATTTTCATTTCGGAGTTCATGGTGCAAAAAAAAAACTCGAAATTGATATTTTATGACAGAGTAAAAAACGACTACAAAAACCATCCCTGAACTAAATCGCTCACTTTTCCATTTGGTTCTTTTTGTCTCTTTCTCTCTTTCTCTCTTATTGGTTTCCTTCTCATACAGACGACAGTTTGTCGTAAAATTCTAGCACTAAAGTCATTCGATAAATAGTATGCGATTGTGAGAATAGAAATTGAATTTTCCAAAAGTTAAAATTCATATCAAGCTGTGCACATTGGATCGTCATCGGACAAATAGTCGTCGATATGGTAATATTAAAATAGCAAAAAAACGAGTACACGTTTCTAGCGAAAGCTGTCATATCGTATCGTCAATATATAAATATACACAATTTTTTTCCTCGAGTCGTTGCTGCGTAATTTCTTTGTCAACTGACAATTGCAGCAGTTATTTTGCAAATCGTTGCATTCCACATTGAATACGTCTGATAATGCCCGACTCACAAATAAAACATAATCAAATATTTGCTATGTAAACGCACACATCACATAACAGCAACAGCAATAGAAACAACAACAAACAATGACAATAACAAAGAAAGCTCAAAACAGAAAATTCAATTAGAATAGTGTTGGCTTTTTATTTTACTGAATTTGCTGTGGATCTAAATGAGAAATTCGCAAACGTATGTGATTCCACATGTACATATATATGCGTTGTGTATAGTGTTGATTTTATTTTTTTATATTTTTTCATTGGATGGACGACAAGCAAAGCAAATCAACAGAGCCCGACTCTGTACAAACTAATTTATGGTGTCAACATTCAACAATGATACGCAATTCGATTAACATAAAAGAAATACACATATACACACATCCAATTTTGTATTCCGAATCAAACAAAATATTCAGGGCATTTCGAAACCGAACAACTTGGAATTGAGAAAATGTAAATGAAACTTAAATGGAAGAACGGGCTGTCATTTTCAAAATGGTATCGAGAATGAGGAAAATAAATTGTATTGAAACACATGAAATTGCTTTTGTTTTCGCATTTAAATGGAACGGTTGTATGAACAGTACAGCCAACAATAATTCGACACACATCCAATCAAATACCATATGGGAACATTTCAATTGTCACTTTAATATGACGTTCATAATGAAATGCAATGACGACAGAACAGACAATCATTATTATGTGTTCACTTAATGTATATAAATGGGAGGCAATTCATGGATTCTCATAAGTACTTGAATTAATCTTGAGAAATATTATAATAAATGAAATGTTTGTTGTTTTTTTGAGAAGTTTTAAGCGATTAAATGAATGATGAAGAGTAAAATTGTCAAAAATAGAAATGCGCTATGATTTATTTATTGTATATAATAAAGTAATTATATTTATGGTTTTAGATGGCAATTTCTGACGTTACCGTATTGGAACAAAAGCGGATGAAAATGGTTCAATCCGTCAGCAGCAAAAAAACATGGGCGATTTAAATTTCATCACTGTGGTTTATTTTTTTTAAGTTTTGAGATTTTTATGATATTGAGGTTTCCTCTATTTTTTTTAGAATTATTTATAATATTTTTTACTTATTTATAAATCTCATTACACATTGTTCATATGCATTGAACATTCTTAATTTAATTTAAAAAAAATGTAATGATGGCTTGTCATAAATACTCGAAAAAAGTTTGTCCACGATTTGTCAGAGGAATACAATAAACGGTTTGCGTACTGATCTAAAGTTGTTGGTTTTTATTTTTGAAAAGGCTCGAATGATGCAGATTATTTATTATCCAATTTAAGTTTTGAGCAAAGTTTTCAATCGTTGAATCGCAGTGTATTGGTATTTGGGTGTGAATTTGTGTCGATGACGACATTATTTCGAAGAGTTTTGCTTAAAATTCAATTGACTTGACAAAGTTACTCCCTTGATGATTGCATGCGATTGGTTGTTTGATTAGCTGTGAGAGATTTTCATTTTGTTTTGTTTGGGTCGTTCTTTTATTAAATCAACCGGATGCCACTGTTTTTATCAATCAAAAAGTTATGTGTTCGTTGGTCTTTGTCTCGGTCGTTGGGTTTGGTTTCAATGTGTCGAATTAAAAGAAAAAGTTTTGCGATAGCCGCCTATATAGTACGAGAGAGGAAGCAAGAGAGAGATGGAGCGAAACAGGTACTACTCATCTCGAAAACGTTCTACATCATTTGAATTAATTAAAAAGTGTTCGCTGCAACATCCATTAATTTGAATTTAAAAAAACACACACACATACACCGAATGGAATTTGTCTTTGATCATGTTCTTTCGAAGAAGGTACGTGGTTAGATTTCAATTTGATGCCTTTCCCCAACAGCAAAAACCCACATTCACTTTAAAGTATTGGCCTCTCTCTCTCTCTCCTCTGACATGAACGAAAACCTATAATGAATACACGTTCTTATGTGTTATGTTGCTATATAGATGTCTGAATGCTCGATGTCTTTTGGCACTTGAGTCACGTTTTGCAAACATCAAACTGAATCAATGAAAATGAACGCAATTTCATATGGATTCTTGTTCTCATTTTTTTTGTTGTGCTCGATCCAACAACGAACTCGATGACAATATGAGGGGCTGTTTTCATATTCTCTAGAATATGCTGACCATATTGCATATGTTTGTGATCGCATATGTTTTCATTAAATAGCAAATTCCAGTGCGCCTACGTACGTCGTCTTCATTGTGAAACATAAACTGAATATGGAATTGATAATATTTCAAACGCGATACGAATCAGCTCAGAAGCATGACCAACAACAATCAAGCATTTTGCGTTTAATTATAAACAAATACAAAGACAATGAACGTAACGCTATACTAAAGTACACGTATTTTATGTATGAAATCATAACAAACAATAAACGACTTTTTACGACATCGTCATTAATGAAACATACAAACATAATCGAATAATTGCCGTCGTTGTGTTGAAATATATATATGTGTGTGTGTACTACATACTAGCACAAATGTGGAGGCCGTGATCGTGTTGATATATTCAGCACATCAGTATATACTCGCTGTTTTCGTTGTCGTCGTCGTCAACTGCACAAAAATAATGTAAAAAGAACCGAACGAGAAACCAAAAACAAAATAAAAAAAACGGCACACACAAAAAATATTGTGTATGAGTAAACAAAGCGAATGTTATGATAACCATAGACCAGTATGACGAGGCGAGCCAAAAAAGCTAGATTTAACCGAGCAGCAGTCACATTTCAAAAATGGAATACACATACAACCAACAATGTTAATATAAATATCAACACTAGAAGCAAACAAGAAAACAAATCCAGCAAAAAAACAATAACAATTTCTACCTCAAATATGCATACATTCTACGTGTTTTAATTGAAAATGTCACTTACACCAAATTCAATTTTATTTTACTCTCTGCGTCTCGCTTCTTTTTTTTCCTTGACTTACGAAAATTAAAGTCACTGAATTGCACTGATTGTTTTTTTCTTTATTATGTGTCTCTTTCACTCTTTTTTTCCTTCACTCACGATTTCTATTCGATTTTTGCTTTAATTTTGTGAATTATCGTTGAGTTCTTTCTTTAAATTTTTCTTTTGCTGGTGTGTATGTGATTTTTTTCTCTTAAATTGGTTGCGATCGTTTGGTCTACAAACATGGATTGGATAGCTCTATATGTGTATGTGTTGTCGGGCTAAATAATCACACAGTGAAGCTGCTGCTGCTGCTGCTGCGACTGCTAATGTTAGCGAGAAGTGAACGTAAAACAAGACATTCAGCCAAGGAAATTTATATGAACGACAAAAACGGCGCAGCGCAGTTTGTACACAAAATGAAAACAACGTAACATTCACAGTGGATTTCGATTTAAGATATTGTCTACACTTGGGGGGACTCCTTTCCTTCTTCTTATTTTCGCATCAGTTCGCTCTTTCACAAATCTCTTTTTTTATTTTTCTCTTATTTCTTTCGCTATTTTTTTTACTCTCTTTTTGATTGAATTTGAGTCGCGACTTTTGAATTTATTTGAGCACTTTTTAAATTCACAAAAGTTTTCATGTAGATAAAAGATTTTCTTTATTCTTCGCTTCTTCTAGAAAAGATAATCGCTTTTCACTTTGGAATTATGCATGGAAACACTCAAGTCAATAGCGTAAAACAATTTTTATTTTCATGTACGACAAAAAAGTTGCTGATATTTACTATACTCAGCCACACGTATATATAATACAAACATTTATGTCACACACACACTCACAGTGAACAAAAAATGAAACATACACACTGAAACAAATATCACTTTCAATTTAATTCGACGTATAATTTTGTGTGAGCTGTTTTTTCTTCTTCTTCTCTTCGTCTCCGCTGCTACTCTTTTATTTGAACTCTCACAATCGAAAACACAGATCGAATTTGTTTCACTCGAAATGAGAAAAATGTTTCTTCTTCTATTGCTGTTATGACTTTGTTTTCAACTTTAGCAAAATATTTTTTGTCTTTCTTTATACTTTTCAATGCTGCGATATTCTTTGCTTTATTCCATTGTTTTTTTTTTTAAATATATATATTTATAAGTTATATTTGTTCGTTTTGTCTGGACTTTTTCACTCGATGATTAAATGGGCTGCTGTGTTAATCGATTTTTTCTTCTCTCGTACTGCGTATGAATTTTTTATTTGCAGCGTTGAAATACTTCCTTTTGCACAACACAAATTGCACAACAAGTGATGATGACGACGATGAATTTCTTTTATTTATTGGCGATATATTTTCACAAGCAAACAAATATATATTTTTTTAACAATATTGAAACTAGCAAGAGATAGAGAGATAGGGAGAGAAAAAAAAATATATATATAGATATATATTGTGTTGATTTATTTTGTTGAATAAATGCTTGGTGTGGCCAGCACAACGGTTTGTAATACTCGTACAATGTGTGTATGTCTCGTATCGATCCGTACTCAACTGTAAACGTTTCACGTATGGTCTTTGTGTTTAGCACTCGGCTCTCGTAGCGCTTACGCCATGGTCGAAGCATCGCATTGCGCAGCACCGCATCGCCACCGCAATCAACCATGCAAAATTGGTATGAAGGCAATCACATGTCAATTGGCTGCGTAGCGCAAACACATACACACTCTCTCTCATACACACACAATCCAATTCGGAGAGCTCTTCCGTATGCGACCAATACATTCAGGCAACCTTCGAGTTTTTTCTACACTGCTGTTATTTTGTCGAACAAAATAATAAAAACGATTCGATTAATTTTTCTATTGTTATTGCATACTCGGGCGGTTCGAAGAAATTCATTATGATTCAAACACGTAAATTTCATGGTAAATTGTTTTTTTGTTCAGAGTATTTCTCTTTTCAAATGGTTGAAATAGAAAATATCCCCCAAAATCGCAACGGGGCATTTCGTTATGGTTACGCATGCATGTGTGTTGAATAAAAAAAAACATACAAGTGAATGGCAACATTCATTACAAGAAAATGTCTAAATTGTTTATATCTCTCCATAGGAATGGAGAGAAAATATATAAACAACCAAAGTGACGGGCCATTGAAACAAAGACAATGAAACCGCGATAGATGGATCCGTACGTCACACACAATGCCATTATCTTACCCTTCCGACAATGACGTCGCATTTATTCATGTACAAAGCAAAACAAACCGTACTACAAGCTGCATAGTATTTTGGATGAATTAATCCAGCTTGAGCGAGTGAGAGAAAAAGAGAGAGAGAGAATAAATGTACATGCTGTTATGAAACGCAGAGAGAAATCGAAAATGAATAAATACGATACGCAACGCCGCAGTGTGGCCGCGCGTGCATCGTACCATTCATTGCAAAAAAACGGAAGCAAACGGTGTGTGTGTGTGTTTTTTCGCTTTCTGTTTACTGACATAACAAAAGATCGAAACGAGTATGCCTCATCATCTGTGCATTACGATACACATAGACGCACCACACACTCAAAGCCATATGCTCGTAAATATTCCATAATTACGGTTGTGCGTATGTTTTTTTTTCGACTCCCCGTTTTTTCTATCCAACTTTTATGTATGCGTTTTGTTGTTTTTTTTTTTCAAATGGCTGTTATATGATGTGTTTCATTATTTCAACTCTTTGTCTTTTTATGATGTAATGAGCCCTCGGCGTACTCAAAATTCTCTCTCTATTTTTTTTTTTTTTTTTCAAAAAGATTTGCGCATTTCACTTTCAGGGCGATTTGCATATGGAAACTGTTTACTCAAGCGGCTGGACATCGACTTTCTTCAGCTTGACACGCTTTCGATCAATGTGAATACATTCATATTTAAATTAAGCCATTCATTTGCACGCACTTTGATTATATCGTTAACGAGTTTTAAAAAAAAGTAATACGTACTATAAATCATCGATTAAATCGCGCCTCTATATGAACTTTTTATTCACGTGCTATTTGATGAATTTATGAAGGCTCAACCATTGATGTTGGAGCGCGCGTCCTTGTTCTCGTTCGTTCAACGGATTTTTATCAAGGAAATGAAAAATAAACGACATTAATACAAGCTGCGCCTGTTTCTTTCAAGATGATCATGAAAAATATCATACTTTATTTAAATGGTTCGCTAAATTCATGGAATTAAACTCTTTTTGAATTGTTTTACACACATCTGTTCTTCATCAACGAACCGAAGCAATTGTGATTTTAAAATAAGATAAAATTGTTTTGAAATAATAATCATTTTTGGATTTTAAATGGACGAAAATTCGACTAAAATGTGTAAATCAACATACGTTCAATAGATGGCACTTTTCAATCGTTTTTCATGTGTTGTATACCTAAAAGATAGAGCAGAGTGTCGCAAGTAAAAAAAAAATAACAGTTTTTTTTTATCGCATGCATTTTCGTGTATATTTTGTTCAATGCCTTTTGTCGAAATCACAAATAATTCACAAGTCCAGCGAACTATATATATTTCGATCGGGTAATGCTAAACATAAATAGTTTCAACGAAAAGGTTATCAGTTTGTCTAAATGCGATAGTGGATTATCACTGTAGTACAAATTCCTAATATGCGATATCTATTGAGAGCTATATGAATATGTAAATACTTATGATTATGCTATATTCTTATTATTAGTGTCAATTTGGAGAAAATTGCGCTTATGATACGAGTGTTGTCTGTACCACGACAAAAATTAAAAGGCACAACAAACAAAAAAAATTATGACGAAGGTCTAACATACGAAAAACAAAATAAAAAATATACATATTTCATTTGCGGCCGATACTGATGCTGCAGTTTATCATATTCAACATTGAGTTTGTGACGTTTCCAATTATTATATGTTGGAAAAATCTGGTCTCGTTTTTTTCCCCTGAAGTTTCCGAATTTTCCTCCGGCTTGGGTACTGAAAATATAAAAAACAAATTGTTAAAAAAATATAAAAATGTGATCAGGTAATTTAATAATAATTGAACGAGGAAGACGAGGAATAACTTACAAAATAACAGACTTGTGATAACTTTCTGAAAAATCTTTATAAGAATTTGTAGTTTGGCTTCTTCTTCTTCGGCTGCATCTCTTGGATCGACTGTTGATACTATTTTGATATTCGATGCTTGTGCTGAAAATGTGATAAATATTGAACAAGATTTTTAAGAGATATACAAATATTAAACTTGATTAATACTTACTTTTCAAAAAAACCTTCCACATATCGCAACCAGCCGTTGCTGCAATCTTGGCAATATTTACTATTGCTGATTCAAGATCAGACAGTTCAGTGTTTGATCTGCTCTCAACCTCATCAATCATTTCAATTGCTTTGTCCATTTGTGCTCCTACAATCACTAACAAAGCCAAGAAAAAAAATCATTTCATGTTGATGAGTCTCAGATTACTACTAATGTAATAAGCATTCATTTACCCAACTATTTATATGTGCTTTAATTGTGATTTAAATATGGGTCAAATTTTGCAAAACCAAACAATCAAAAACGCACTTTAAAAACTTTTTGTTTTTTCCGCATTAAGTATTACATACCAAAGTACGTTTTTTGAAAGCTTTTCTTTTTCAGTGAGCTTACAAAACAAACTCCAAATGTCTAAACTATAGTTATATATAGTATACTAAAATAATATGAAAAAAAAAAAAAAAAAATAACGGAAATTCCAGACATTCGAAAGTGAATGAATGGTAAAACAAAAAATTGTAATTTTTGTGACAGACTCTCATCCATTTCATATTTTGAGCATCGATTAATGAATCTTTCCGTTGAGTTCACAAATTGGAAAAATTGAGCTGTAGATTCGGAATGTACTTTAGTTTTAATGCATTTGACGATTGGATGATCATTTGCAAAACACTTTGTCGCACTAATAGAATGAATGAACGCAAGTTCATTTGATACTGACGTATTTAAATTTTTTAAACATGTTTGAAATGAATGCACACATTCACAATTTTTAACATTCCATTCTGTTTTTAAGTTCAATTCAATGTGTTTATATGCATCACATTTATGAAGCGAACGACAACTAAATCTAATCGTTCATTTTCATTCAAATCTGTGTCTTTCGTTGTATAGGCAAATGTTGCTTCCAGGGTTCGTTTCAGTGTATTCTCATTTGACAATAAAATTGATTCACAAAATGATGTACCTAAAAATGGAAAAAAATATCTCAAACTCCGATAATTAATTACTAATTAAAAAGTAAATACCATTTAGATGCTTGGATACAAAGTTGTTCGCAGATTTCTCGTAAAATTTGGACAAACTTAAATTATAAACATTTAAATCGCCAAAAGTTGATTTTGATACACACAAAATAAGAAAATTCGTAATATAAAGTCCATAGTTCCATCAATTTACATCAAGTTCTGTGGACTAATGTTTTTTTCTCGAACGTACGAAGCGAAGAAGTTAAAATGAAAAAAATTATCAGTCAAAAATATTTCCGAATATTAGTGTGTAATGATTTTTTGTGTGATATTTTTTTCAAAAATTTTAAACTATTTTCCGTTATCTTGCATGTAATCATCATACATATATTGTACATTATTTCAACTTCAAACAAGTGCTGTTTTAAAAAATGTAGGGGAGACTTGGCCATGGCCAACTTAGCCCCACCCTCACCTACTTTTTTTAAATTTATCAATAAAATTCGAAGACACAAACAATCAAATATGTTTGATCAAAAAAATATATGATCAAAGCAATTGGATTAGTTAACATTTATAACGTCTTTTAGTTATTGACAAACAACAATCAAGCATTTTGCGTTTAATTATAAACAAATAAGTCTCGTTCGTTCAACGGATTTTCATCAAGGAAATGAAAAATAAAAACTGCGCTAGTTTCTTTCAAGATGATCATAAAAAACAACATACTTTATTTAAATGGTTCGCTAAATTCATGGAATTAAACTCTTTTTGAATTGTTTTACACACACCTGTCTTCAAACTCTCCAACAATAGTTCTTCATCAGCGATCCGAAGCAATTGTGGTTTTAAAATGCGATAAAATTCATTCGAATTAATAATAATTTTTGAATTTTACGTTCAATAGATGGCGCTGACTTTTCAATCGTTCTTCATGTTTTGTACACTAAAAAGCTTGTATTCACTGAAGAAAAGTTTCGAACAGCAAACCCCATTGAAAAAATACGGTTTAAAGCATATCAATTCACTGCTACTGTTTCAATGATTAAATTCTCTGGTTCATGTTTGATATAAAGAAACGCGAAAGGTTCAAAAGTCAGATTGAATTTTTTTTATATTTAAAAAATTCGATATTTTGTGAATTGTTAATTCCACTTGATTCATCGTTTTTCCAATTATTTTTGAAAGATTTATTTTGTTCTGATTTTGGTTCAGCCAAAGGTTAAGCGTTATTAAAAGGTTTTTTTCCTTCAATGCAATCGCTTTTAATTTAATTGAAACATCGATTGTACGTTATTGTTTAAAAAAAGTTCTGGCTGATAAGCGTAAGACGATCATTAAACGTAAAAACCCAGCATATTGATTAATATTCGTTCAAGGAATTCACGACTTTTGCTTGAAAATTCATAAGAATCAATAGAGTATTCTGAGTACGTTTAAATGGCTGCAAACTAATCAAAATTATATTGGTAAACTGCAACATATAAACAATTCAAACTGATTATAATACATAAAGGGAATTATGTAAACCAGTCAGTTAAAAAAGAAAATGGTTAGTAGAAAATGTCTTCATTCTTCGGCCAGTTTCCAATTTCAATATGTAAAATTCAATTCTGAAGTTCTGATTTTAACTTATTCTATAAGTTTAATAATATAGTTTATAGTTGATGCCGTTTTTGAGTAATGCGTGTCATAAAAAGGTCGAAAACGATTTTAAGGCTTCACGATACATCTAGTAATTCTTCGGGTAAATACGCTGGATTGTCTATTCATCGTTCATGATCATATGTTAACAGCGTACAGAATACAGTACTATCAACAGAAAACAATCAAGCAACGCGCCGCCAAAAAGAAAGAAATGAAGAAAGAGAAAAAAACCCATAAAGACTGTGCAAACACACTAGCGCGACTAAAAAAACAGATAGTCAAGAAAAGAGAAGTGTGTAAAACGAATAAAACGACCGGAGATCGTTTGGTATTCTCTCAGTTAGAGATTTTCAGTCGTAGCGATCGCTTCGCTGCCACCACCACCATCATCAATATTTTTTTAAAAAAGTGAACAATTTCAAGTGTTTTTTCATTCAACGGCCGTTACTATCGAAAATAAGTTTGTACGTTTGTGTATTGTTTTTAGCGCAATTTTCGTTTCTGTTGCTGTTAAATTTTTTACTTTTTCGTTTTATTTTTGGTACGCCATTCTGTGTTTCCGTGCTTTTAGTCAGTGCGCTTTGGTTTTCCGTCTTCAAATTTTCTGTCGACGAACTAGAATACTCTATATTTTGTTGTTGCTCGTTCGTTGTTTGAGGTTTTTATTTCAATTTGGCTGTCGGTTATATAAATGAAATTGTCAGTTCGTAAAGCTTGTGTCGATGCATTGTAAATGGCAGTAATTATTTTCGTTAGCAACACTAAAAGTCAATTAATTATAGATGTAACGCGAAAACAATAAGACTTATTTTCATTGAAAGTGTTTTGACTATTTGCGCGTACTGAAGACTGCAGAAAAAACAGCTTACTTCATGATCGTAAAGGGGAAGAGGGGCGACTTGTTGTTGTTTTTGCTTCCTTGACGAGAATGAAAATTACTCAGACCAAAAAATATTGAGAAAAATCAATTGAAATGGACGCAGTTTGGTTTGAAATTGAGAAACTGATTCGAAGAAGAAAATTATTCAAAATTGTGAAGAAATTACAGAGCAAGAAAATCTTGATTTCTGAAGATTAATGAAATATTCAAACGATTTTATCTCACAAATCAATCTTTCTCCAAATTTGACGGTTAATAAATAATTTGGCAGCCATTTGTGCCAAAAAAATCACTAATAGACTTCGATCTATATCTACAGCTGCTATAAATCCCTCTTTAATCGTTTATTGAATAATGAATGCTTCACATTCAATTGCTGTTATAAAAGAGACTCAATTTATTTCTCTTTTTTTTCTCTCGTTTGTCTAAGTGTAAAGCAATTACACCGAAAACCTTCTGAACCTGAAAACAAAATGTTGAATTAAAAGCAAAATAAAATTGTTTTCAAAATCCAAATCTGATCATGTGCTGCCGTAATAGAAGATCAATTGAAAAGGTTATCGATCGTTTCGGAGTGTGTTTTTATAAGTAATTTCAATGACTCTGTAAGCCGTAAAAAAAATAAAAACCTCTCCTTTGGATGAACCTGAATAATTGGAGCGTATGCACACATTTTCCGCAGAAAACAAAATAGTCAGCGTTACGTTATCATTCCGTCATGTGGTGTGCAAGAGATAATGAAAAAAAACCCAACATATAACGCACTCTCATACATACATGTATATGTAAAATAAAAATGTGAAGCGAACTGTGCAAAAAAAAACAAAATCCAGATGCATCCTATTAGCATTTTTCCCATGGAATCGGCGTGTGTTTTTCACGATTCGCTCATGAATGTTGAGCATCGAATTTGTTCACAATAGTAAATATTTCAATTGATTTTGTATGAAACGACACAACGAATGCGAATGCAAAATTTTAGTGTACAATTCCTCAAAACGAAACGGAAAAAAAAAGAGATCTCGCTCAATGCTGACGTAGTAAAATTCACTCACAAAATCGAATACCATTCATTCAATCTCAAGCATCAAATAGAAATGAAGTAATCATGAAGTAACTACTTTTTTTATCTTACAATTTTTTTGCCATACAATCTTACTCTCGGCGTGCTACTCGCATTATTTTCGAAATGAGTTTGAATCTGTAATACACACACACAAAACAAAATCAAAAACAACAACGCGAAAAATATAATCCATACTTGCTGCGTATCATCGAGAATGAGACAGAAAAGTGCACGATGCTAATAGTTTCGTCTCTCTAAGTCATAGTTCTTCGTGACAAAAGCATCGTGTCAGATCGAATTGCAAATACAACGGCGAATAACAATAGCGAATACTCCTAGTTTTGGAATGCTTTTAATGTGTTTACAACAACTCAAATGCAAACCGATTAACTATTTTTAACGATGTAAATAAACGAATTTTTACGAAATCGTGTCGATCGAATTAAATTGGAGCAAACCGCGCTCACATAAAAAATAGCAGCATTACAAGCCCAACAACGGTAATATAACATCAACCGCACACCACCACCACCCATCAGCATCGCAGCAATATAATGACGAAGTGGCTTTGAAATCTGTCGTCGTCGTCTTCGTTTGTTTGCCACGTTTATTCGACGTTACGATGCAACACTCATTTGGCAAAACAATAGCAAATGAGAAAATCTCGATGAAAAACATGAAAAGAAAATAATTTAAAAAAAAAATTCGGATGAATTTTGCTCTCAATGTATGTGTATGAGAGATGACTTCGTTTCAGTTTTTACGCAAACGCGTGTGCTTTATCGATAAATAATTCATCGTTCATAATTTATGGAAATAATTTCGCAGAGACACATCCACGAGTCGAACATATTAAAGTGGTTTTCTTTTTTCTGTACACTTTTCCAAGTCATTTCAATGCATTCTTCTTCATTTTTCATGGCACGCTATAGTTTTCACTTCACTTATGATTTTATACGCGTCGCTTATGGAATAAATTTAACCACCTTAATTTTCCCGTCGAATTGGTGACGAAAGATTTTAATTGTGTTGTTTGACGCAGTTGCATTTTTTTTACTGTTATTGTTGCTATTTTTAAATCAGCAAAATTTATAAATCATTGAAAAGAAACTTCATTTATTAAAATCGAAAAATGGCAGAGAAACATTTACAAACGGAAAATTGTGTGAATGCATTACAAATAAATGAAACAAAAAGTGCGTAATACGCGTGTGATAATTATATAGTGTCGATGAATTTTCATTGCGATACCGTTTGCTTTTCTCGCCGTCTGGCTGTTGTCTATCTTTGTCTTTGCTGTTTGTTTTTTTCAAATTCTTTTCACAACTTTTAATGGAATATATAATTCTTTGTTGGACAGAAAATTGAATTGTTGCCACGGTGTATAACAAGGATTAAAATACAACCAAACAATTAACGGTAAGTGCATGAGCTGAAATTATTATCGATTCAAAGATTATTTTAAGTTGTTTTTTTTTTCTTCGTCTTCAAAAGTTTTATTTTTATCTTTAAATCAAACTTTTCTGTCGTTGAAACTCTGCAAACAAAAGTTCTGCTTAAAAATATTGCTTGAACTTTGTTCAGAGTTTTCAGACTAAACAAAATCCAGTAGAAAAAATTGAATGAAAGTTTGTCGAGATGCTCGCTTAAATCAACGAGACACATTCGCAATCAACAAGATGTGTGTCGGTGGAAGTGATTCCAGAACGATATCGTTTGATGCAAATCAATTAATCATCATGATACTTGTACGAACATCTAACAATGGAAAATTAAGAGCAAGCCAAAGTCGTAACAATGTTGAATGTCAAATATCCTTGGGATATTTTATGTTACGTACTAACATGTTTCAATCAAAAGTTTTCGAAGAAAGCTTAAGTGAAATTTCGTATTCGCTCGTTAAATAAATAGTTCAATCCAAGAATATTCTTGACGAAATGTTTCTTGATGAAAATCTAATTTGTTAACCAGAAAACTTGAAACAATGTCGTTAGTTCTGGGCAATGCATGTATTTGAATTCTATACGACAATCACTATTTTTGTGTCATGTTTTGTAATGTGACCCCAAGGTAACTCGTCACTGTTGCTCGGTTTTTTGTTTACATTCTACAAAATAATCTCAAGCGATGTCAATTGCAATTGTGTGGCGTGTGATTTTTTCGATGTAATTATATATTCACCCGTTTTGCCATTTCTTCAACAATCCAGCACATCGAAGGCTTGACGCGTTGTGTTTTTGCCCATTTCAATGTGGCCAACATTTTACTATTTAGTCTAATGTTGGTCGGGTGCTTTTTTTATCATCTTCTTGAATTCGGTTTGTTGTACTTCGGTGGTGTTAACGTATAATTGTGTAATTGTTTATCTTATAAACAATTTGTATATTTGTTGCTGGTTGAAAATGCTGTTTTCAAACCGAATGTGTGTTTGCTGTGTTCATGGATTGCTTCGCGATTTTTTCCTTCTTCTTTGTCTGTGATTCAATTCGTTCACAAGATAAAATCATCAATCCCCAGCACAACCTTTATAATTTTTTTCAATGAAAAGCTTAACATAAAAAGCAAATTTATCGTGATCGAAACAAAAAACCTATATTTAGATTAGTCAACACATGCCACTCACATAGACAATGACGAAAAGACAACACATTTCAATGATTTGTTTTCAGTGGTTTCCAAATGAAATATGCGAATAAAAAAAGCAGCCGCCTTGATTCTGGGGTCGCTGCTATAATCAAAGGGCAACAATACACATTGTTCACACATATGCTTTAACAGTGAAATTGTGAATTCGGTCAAAAGTGACTGATTTTGATCTTTTGCACTCGCTGGAAATCACACAATATCCATAATATTTCACACATCATCGTATTAATCATGTTTTGCGGTTTGATTGATTCCAATCGAACAATTCAACATGAAATCGTGTGCACATCATCCGCATTCCAATTGATCGATTTCGAATCGAGATTCATTTCAAAATTACCGCATTGCTTGCCGCATTGCTTTCATTCTATCGATGTATGTAATTTTCTTTCATCATCATTGCTATAAATCACAATTACTCGCATCCCGATGGACCACATATTTTTGCATCGCTTATGCTCTACTATTACGTCGATCTGGATTTTTTTTAAACGGCGGTTATATCCACATTTCAGATGAAAAAATATAGAAGACACAAAAAAATCCAGCAGAAAACGGCAAGAAAATTTTCGTTTGCGGTGCGTGCCTTGACAGATTTATGGCGAACAAATTAAAAACGAAAAATGTTCATTCTTCTTCAGCTAACGGAGTTCGACAATGACACCAATTGAAATGCAGTCAAAAACGTAAAAAAATTACACTCTTCATACTTTCAAATAATTGAGAAAAATTTTGTTTCACTTCCGACACTGCACATGATTGTGCCGTCACTGCCAAAGGAAACGTTTTGTTTTTTCATCACTTTTATCCAGACAATATATTGAATTAACTGGTCAGTTGAGCTGACAGTACGTTAGCCAGCTAAATGGGCTAAAACAATAGACGTTATTGTTTTAATGATGAATCACTTTTCTTGTTTTAATAGAAGTGATTGTTCATTATAACAATAACTTCTATTGTTTTGGTCCATTTAGCTGGCTAACGTACTGTCAGCTCAACTGACCAGTTAGTTCAATATATTGTCTGCTTTTATCGCTGTTAATGAACGAAACACTGCAAAATTGTAATCTATATAGTTTGTAGCGTGGCACAAAAAAAAGAAAGCCATTAACGGTTTCAACGAAAAACATTTCTCTCTCTCTTTCTCGTTTCATTATTTTTTTATTTTTGTCTGTGGCATCGTGCTGTGATGTAACCGCTATTAAACTAATTGGCTCGTTATCGTTTATTGAGCGCAATTGCAAAGTCAGAATAGTGCTTTCGATCGTTGGAAGCCGCAAGTCAAATGTCACTGCAAAAGAGGCACAGATTGTGCGACGCCCAGTCAAACCAAAACAATTGCATTTCAATTCAACCAGTTACCAAATTTAAAATGCAAATTATTGTGGCCTCAAATGCGCTCTGATTGATGTCGTTGCTTTATTTCCGTGTCAAGATATCACACTAATTATCCGATTAATGATAATCCGATTCGTTGTGCCGAATCTACAAATCGATAATTTGCAATCGAGAATTATGGCAAGGAAGGGATATATAGAAAAAAAAGTTCTCGTGCTCTTTCGAAATTGGCATTTCATTTCTGAATTTCGGACGTTTAGTTCTAGTAAATGTTAGGTCGATGAGATTATGCAAGCATCATTAAATACGAATAAGTCAATAGGATTTGTTGGCCATAATCAGGCGAGAGAAGAGTGCCATTATGCGAAGAAAAAAAATGCTTGGCTGATGGTAAACAGCAAGACGACAAAAAACCGCTTGCCATTATTGTTCTATTTTAAGCCAGTGTGTATATACTCTTTTGTCTGTAGCATTGAATACAATTTATGTGGCCAATTTCTATCATAAATCGAATTAAATCCATTTTAATCACACATATACCGTTAAGTGAAGCTATTGAATAAATTTCTGTTGAAAAATCCACACATCGTATTTGCGCTTGAATAAACTGATAACACGATGACTGTCCGCGTGTGTTTGCAAACCATGCATCATCACCACTACCGTCAAATATAATTGAATACCTTACTGTTCCATTATAATGATGATAAATTCTATGTCCACCACAAACATGAAAAGGCGTTGTCCCTTACACGCACACTGAAATAATAGAACATAATTGAGTGAAATAATTTATTATTTTCCCATATCACATTTCCCGAAGTGTCATCGAAAGTGTGCACATTTTGGTGTTCGCATAACTTTATTTTCAATTTTGCGAGATGATTTTGCATGATATTCATAAATGCTGACATCAGCAATTACAATTACTCGCTGACGAAAACCAAAATCGCACACTTGCATTTATCATGCACTGAGTCGAACAAGCGCCAAGCAACAATTGTAATAAATCATTAGTATCATTCGACCATGTACGCTTAAAGTGCGGTTTTGTTTAACAATGTCACATAATATTCTGTAAACCGTCACTTTCTAATTCTATTCATTTTATGGCCGAAAATTGGTAATTCACCAAAAATAATGCGATAAATGAAACGATGATGATGACAATTTCAATAATTTCGAGCGATTTTTAGACGATACGGCCGACAGATGGTAATAGATTTGAAACATGTTTCATCCGTTTTACGTTTAATTAAACGTAACATGCGTGATGAATTAACATTAAAATAGGAGCCAGCAGACATCGTTGACGATTATTATTCAAGCACCTAATTTGTGAATTCGAAAAGAGAATTGATAAAGTTACCTAATATCCATTGAATTGAATGTAGCGTGACAGCATCAAATGCCGAACGCTTTTTGAAAATAAAAACTTCGTTCGACAGTTGAGAGCAATGTACACAAAATGCAGTTCCATAAACCAGAAATATAGATTGTTTGTAACCAAATGACGCTATCATAGGCAATGACCTTAAACTTGATTTTGATTATCTACTGTTTTTCAGGTTAATTTTTATTTTCGTCTTGACACACCAATCGTGCTCACATTTATCAATATTAAAATGACAATCTCCACGGTTATTGTCTCATTTGTTTCCGGAGTTCATGACGGAATGACAGGAATTTTGAATGAAGAAAAGAAATGGAATAAAAATATATCTTTTAGAAAAAACCGGTTTAGATTCGTGTTTTCTTCGTTTAATTTTGTACGGTGTTTATGACACATTGCAGTTTTAATGGGTTTTTTCTGTTCTCGTTCGTTTTATATAATTTTTTGGCACCGAACGAAAATTCGATTGATTTGAATGTAATAAAAACCGTTGGATGCGACAAAAAAATACTCGCCAATTCATGCTGTGAATTCTGCAGAATTGGAAAATGGCAAAAAAACGAAAGATGATTAAAGTAAATCGATAAAAGTTGAGAATAAAAATAAAAAAATCACATTAGGAATGATATTGAATCCAGAGTCAAAAATGCTTACGCGCGCATACATTCGAACTAAATGCTTTCTTTCAATTAAAGTTATTTTCATTTCGATGTAATTTCCTTGATGTGCTTATTTTGTGTCATTTTCTGTTCTCGACATTTTCACGATGCGCACGTACAACTACAAAAATCGCTGTAAATTCTCTGCACTCGGGTTTAGTTTTCTCTCTTCGCTCGTCTGTACGCAGAACGTGCATGATGTCTGGCACGTTCGCCGCTGAACATACAATTTGGAAATGGTCCTCTTGAGATCCACTATCTCAATGTGCAGTTCGAAAATCGATTTTATGGTCAAACGAATTCGCTCATGCATCGATATATCAAGTCCAAAATGCACACGATGCATCAACTGATTCGACGTGTGTTCTTCATTTTCATTTTTT